CATTTGGCAAAGCCAAAACCCGAGAGAGATGAGTTATTGTTATTACAACGTGACTTCACTATTATTTAACAACTCTTTATATTGGGTTCTTTTATTTGGGGTTAAATACATTGTCAGAATAAGTGAGAAATGGATTTAACTTCTGTTAGACAGCTATATGCCATACATTTTTGCATACATTCACAGTAAATATTTATTCAGTATGATAGTTGTCTAACAGAAGTTAAATCCATTTCTCACTTATTCTGACAATCTACTTAACCCCAAATAAAAGAACCCAATAAAAAGAGTTGTTAAATAATAGTGAAGTCACGTTGTAATAACAATAACTCATCTCTATCAGTTCTTTTTCTGCTTTGCCAAATGCCACTGTGTCAAGTGTCCTATTAGAGTTGCCGTATGTAGTTGTCAAATATGGCGGACCATCTCGCACATGCGCACTGCAGATAGGGCAGGGCTGTCACTACCCGATCGGTCCACCTGCCCGATCTGTACTGCGCATGTGCGAGATGGTCCGCCACTACATACGGCAATTCTACTAGGACACTTGACACAGTGGCTTTTGGCAAAGCAGAAAAAGAACTGATAGAGATGAGTTATTGTTATTACAACGTGACTTGACTATTATTTAACGACTCTTTTTATTGGGTTCTTTTATTTGGGGTTAAATACATTGTCAGAATAAGTGAGAAATGGATTTAACTTCTGTTAGACAGCTATATGCCATACATTTTTGCATACATTCACAGTAAATATTTATTCAGTATGATAGCTGTCTAACAGAATAAGTGAGAAATGGATTTAACTTCTGACAATGTACTTAACCCCAAATAAAAAAAAAACAATAAAAAGAGTTGTTAAATAATAGTGAAGTCACGTTGTAATAACAATAACTCATCTCTCTCGGTTCTTTTTCTGCTTTGCCAAAAGCCACTGTGTCAAGTGTCCTATTAGAGTTGCCGTATGTAGTTGTCCAATATGGCGGACCATCTTTCACATGCGCAGTACAGATCGGGCAGGGGGACCGATCGGGTAGTGACAAGGGCTTTAGTGACAGCGTCTAAATGTGTTTTGGCGGAAATGTCCGGGCTGCAAAGTAACCTGTACGGTAGAGCCTTTCAGTTCCCCCCAACAATCTGTATTGAAATAAATCAACATGGAACCAGTAATCACTAACTTAATTTCCCCCGGCCCCCTTATTGGAGAACACCCAGCTAGTAACCTAGCACCAAGCTTCAGCTAGCGGCAGTCAGAAACTCATGTATCTTCAAATCTACTTACAAATAAATATGGGGAAGTGTAAGTTCAACCGTATTTGGTTGGAAAACATCGAATTTAGTGCTTGGTTGAAATCAGTGGAGGGGAACGTGTTTGAAGCCCGCACCTTTTGCTAAATACATTAGCGTTTGTTTTGCTAATGTAGCGTTAGCTAGTGCAGCGTTAGCTAGTGCAGCAGCTCCCGCAACAACACCGGGGGACCTCCGGGCGACGTTTGTGTCTACGTCAACCCTAAAAGCGGAGGTGCTGTAGACGCTAAATACCGTAGCTAAACACCAATCTTACAACAGCAACGATGAAAGATTGTAGCCAAGGCAGCAGAGCTCTGAATATAGCTCTTGTCACTCTCTCTCTCTCTCTCACACACACACACACACACACACACACACACACACACACACACACACACACACACACACACACACACACACTGCTCGATTATGGCAAACATCATAATCACGATTATTTTGGTCAATAATTGATATCACGATTATTAAATAAGATAATTCATTGACTTTGAAAACATCAATTTATTGAACTTTAAAACAAATAATAATTTGAACAGTATCTTGTTAACTGTTGATTACCCTGAACGTATAATTCAACTGAAAAACCAATACAAAAATAAATGATACATTTAAATAAATAATATCAAAATAATAAATACCAATAAACAAGATCAACAAATATTTTGGAGCGCACTTCCACAAGCTACTAAACATATATAAATAAAAATAAATTAGACTAAAATTAATTAGATCAAATATGTTCTAGTGCACTGTCACAACCTAGCAAGCAAAATAATCGTTTTTTTCGATTATGTTGTTTTCGTAATTGTGGCAGGCCGAAATCGTAATTGCGATTAAAATACGATTTAATTGCACAGCCCTAACACACACACACTTTTTGTCTAACACGCTAACACAGTTCTGGGCTGTTATGTTCAGTCATTGTTCTTATGTTGAACATGAATACATTTACTTTGTAAGTAATTATGGGACGTATTTCTTCTTTCATAGCAATTTTCCTTCATACTTTCTTGCCGTGAAATAGGTCTTAAATTCTATTCAAAGTGGTCTTAAAAAGGTCTTAAATTTGAGTTGGCGAAACCTGCAGGAACCCTGTATAAGTCACAACTTTAAGTGATCCCATCGTGGTTTGAAAAAGAGTATTGAATAGCGAAATACAAACAAAACAAAAAGGAGTGGACTGTGAATATGCTTAATACAGCTGTACTATATATTTCCATCTTCAGATAGGGCCATTTGGCAGTTTCAATAGTTGGATAATATGGTAGTAGTGTTGACCTTACATTGAACTTAGGATCCCGGGGGAACAGAATCAGTAGAACAGAGAGAACAAATAAACATGTGTTTATCATCATGTGGTGAGGGGCGGGACCTAGTCCCTCGCTGCTTCAATAAAAGCAGCGAAAAGGCAGTCTAGATAAAGTTTGACTGCACTGTGTGCTAAGATATAAGGGAAGCCAGGTGTTACTCAGGCTCCTGCAGAGCTTAATATGTTTTATATTTGAAATAATTAAGCATAACGGCATATACGAGTAATACAAACAAAATAGTGTCGCAAATAATGATTGGATATGAAATGGTACATAGCCATTCATATATAAAGAACAGATATTAATTATCTTATCAAGTGCAATGGTTTTCTTTGGCAAACATTAGTATTCAGAACGGGGTTATTAGCTTAAGTGTGTTTATGTGCGTTATGTGGACTATTTACATACTGACATTGTGGTCTTCAATGCTGGTGGTCATCTGTCGTCTGTCTGAGACTGAGAAGTGAAGTTCATTCACTTCTCAGTCTCTGGGATGACTTTCTTTAGCACGTATTCCAGAGCCTTTGCAGGGTCCATAAATTCCTTTTCCTCGTCTCTAACTGAGATCCGCATCCGAGCAGGGAACAGAAGTCCGTAGCTAACTCCCTGACGTCCTCGTAGCATCTTCCTCACGTCCGTGAATGCAGCTCTGGCTTTAGCTACGTTGTTGGTATAGTCGGGGAAGATGGCTATCCGTTTTCCATTGTAGTTGAGTGGGGCTCTGTCTCGGGCTCTTCTAAGCACCTCCGCTGCGTCTCCGTCATTGTGCAGCTTGGCGATAATGACCCGTGGTCTATCCCCCGGCTTCCACTTCATAAGGCTGCGGTGTGATCGGTCAATTTTGATGTCTCGGTCAAGATGTAGTGCTTCTTTGAGAAGTTTGGAAATAGCTTCGGGAGTGCTCGAGTCTGGCTGCTCATCTACACCTACTATACGAATATTCCCCCTCCTCATCCTACCTTCCATGTCTTCACTCTTTTCTTGAAGCTCTTTGACTTGGCTTTTCAGGTTAGTTACGACAGTTTGTAGCGAGTTTACTTTGTCAGACCATGTCGACAGGCCTTCCCCTATGTCCTTAATGTCTCCCTTCATTTGATCCATTTCAGCCCGAATTGCAATTGTGTTGGTGGTGATTTCTGACCTGACAGCCTCCACTTTTGAGGAGGCCAAATTCCTTTGCAAGGGCGTTCTTCACTTCTTCCCGTAACATATTAGCCAAGTCTCCCCTCAGGGACGACAGGACGTCTGCCTTGATCTTTTCAGGCGGTCATATCTGTGGCTTCGGTCCGGACAGGTGACGCTCCGTTACGGTTGGCTGGAGTACCCTGCGTCGGGGATTGTTCAGGCCTTCTCGTATATTTGTATTTCCGGAGATTTGCCGCCATCAAAGTCGGAATTTCTGACTTAGTTAAGGTTATAATATCTTCAAGCTTCTTTTAGTTAGGTTTAATCTGGTTTTGATGTGAATAACGCCGTTTAAGTATAAAACTCTGCAGGAGCTTTGAAAAAGACGTCTCACTCCATACCCTGCTCACTAGCGCCCCTCGCAGTCTGTCATTTTGACAGATTAGAACAAACTCGGAACAGCGCCAAAGTTTCTCCGCAGCGAGGCTCTGGTGTTTGCCGTGTTATGCATGCCCTCCAAAAGGAAATTATATAGTTTCCAAACCAATGTCTGGGAGTTTATGCTTTACGCTCCCGCAAGGGTTCCCGTTGACAGTTCTTCACGAGCGTGCTCTCTCTCTCTCTCTCTCTCCCCCCCCCCCCCCCCCCCCCCCCCCCCCCCCCGACGGGTAATAATGGATTATGACGGAAATGTACGATCCTGTCTGTCAAAATGACAGACAGCGAAAAAGTCTAACGCCACCTCTGTGGGACAGAGAGATATGCTTTGGCCATGGGTGACAGCAGTGGGTAAAACTGTGCATTGTCTCTCCACCACTTCAAAAACAATACAGTTTTTGCCAAGAAGGTGACACAAACCTTCTTGTAAATATCTCGCCCTATTGACAGGGCGAGATATAAATATACTGTTGGTACTTGTCAATGTCTCTAGGTATGTAGCCCTGTAAATACGATGTCCTTTTGTGTTATCTGTTGTTTTATGTTCATGTTGTAACCTACTTGCTGCCATGTTGGACAGGTCTCCCTTGAAAAAGAGATCGATGATCTCAATGGGACCACCTGGTTAAATAAAGGTTTTTTATTAACCATGTAATATCGCGGTAGAGTTTTGTCAGTCACGCGACGGTATTGAGACGTTTATTTATCGCGATATTCGGTATATCGTTACATCCCTACAAAACACAGTGAAGCATACAGTCCAAATAAAGAGTATGGGTTTGTTTGATGTACTCCCTAACATGTGTCCTACCCCTGGCAGGCTTCAGCCACCTCCTCCCTTGGTACTACATGATCTACTTCATCATCCTACTGGTGCACCGAGACTCCCGTGACATGAGCGAGTGCCGAAGGAAGTACGGCTCAGCGTGGGACGAGTACTGCCGAACAGTTCGCTACCGGATCATTCCCCGCGTCTACTGAGGGCGCCAGACACTCCTCTGCTGAGGCCCCCCCAGTCAAACTCTCATTAATAATGGATGGACCATTGTTTTTACTTTTATAATATTTTGTTTAAACTAAGAATATTTAAAATTGTGTTTCTGGACTGAAGAAGCTAAAGTATTGTCAATGTTTGTAAGGAAGAAAAACATGCCACATTGGTATTGTAGACTATTCGAAGAACTGCCTTTTTAATAGAAAATACAAAAAAAATATAGATTTTAAAAGTTTGAAAATCTGGGGGAATTGAAAACCACCTCTGCTTGGAATGTGTTGTTGGGATGTATATTTTTGTAGATACACATTTGTTTTTATACTTCAAGAATATTGGACAGATTTCCAAAATGTATATTATTTTGGTAAATCTTTGCTCCCATATTCAATAGAAAAAACTATTTCAGCTTAGTTTATATGAATAATTGTGTAGTACACCTGCTTGTGTATATTATGAAGGAGGTTTTAAATCTGCACAGTGGAATGTGTTTTTTCTCAGGACCCAGAACCTTGTCCAAAGCTCCATTAGAACAGTTTTGTCTTGTTTATTGTGTGTATCTTTTTATATAGATATCTAATTTTGACTTGAGAGTGTAAAATGATTTTGGAGGGTTCAGGAAAGATGCACTAATGTGTTTGTAGCATGATCAATCCCAAAGTGTGTTAGATTTGGCTTTGCTACCTCAGGTTCACTCACTTGGTCCTCTGTAGTGTGTGTGTGTGTGTGTGTGTAATTATGAGCGTCACTGCTTTACAAACAAAATGACTATGACTCATATTAACAATAATATAAGTTTCTGTCATGAGCTATTCCAATTTACTTTTATTTCCTGCATTTTATGCCGCTAAGGAAACCATTTTGTCCAGCTAGATTATGAACTGGTTGTTCATTTCCCACCACTGCCACACACATTTGCTTTTACTTGTCTAGCAGATGTAATGATGTTTATACTGTGATGACATGGAGCTCTTTTTGTTAATGCATTTACAAAACCAAAAAAGTGTTTTCTGCCTGCAGCTGTAGAGTCCAGTAGCAATACATTGACTAGACTAGTAAGCATTTCTTATGCTGTGCTGACTGACTGCAATGTAAATATTGTTTTTTTAAATCCTTTTCAATGAGAGTAGTGATGATAACAATGTTCCCATTGGATATTTAATTTGTTGTTTGAAGTTAACTTTGTAAATCTGACCACTGTAGTAATGTTTACACATAGATCTGCCATGTTTCTGGACAATACTTATACGTATTAAAAGCACATGTGGAATGGTCTGTAACAGTGTTTGTCTGATCAGAGAATACATGTTAGATAAAGAGAAGAGAGGTCACATGTCTCAACATATTCTGTGCTTAATATGGCAGTGGGTGGGCAGCCTGAGTGGAAGCAGTACGTTGGATCTCCTTTGTACTGTACAGCAGGCTGTAAGTGAGCATCAATCACTTACAGCCTGCTGGCTTTTGCTGGAAAAAGCTTATCTATAAAAATGGTGCAGCATCAAATAAAGATTGAGAGTACTTCCTTGTGCTTTCCGTGGGCTTTGAGTTGAGATTTAGAGTGTCTTTAGAAGGAATAGGAGAACATGTAATTAGGTCATGACAGTTCAATTCTTCTCGTGCTCAGAACCAAGCTTACTAAATCTTATGATACACTGACACAGATCTATTATGTGGAGAACACTACACAATGAGACTATTCAATGTAATATAGTTGTGAATGCTCACAGCAGCAGGTTTCTGAGGGTCAACGTTTTTTTGGGTTAACAAAATAATTCAGTTTGTTATTATTTTTCAGCTAACATTTTGTTAAAAATGTATAACTGACAAATCAAAGAAAGTCACAAAACCAGTAAATGTGTTTGCTGAAGATGGTCTCGAGCTCCTCTCCGTGTCACTTGTTACTTTGTTGTGCCCTTTATTTTATTTATATCTCAGATTCTTCTTGCTCTATTTTTTATTGTTTTATGTCTTATATATTTATATCACATTTTTGGAGGAGCCTGGGACATAAGATTTTGATTACCAAAACTACACCAGCTATCTTGCCTTTCCATCTTAATCTTGAATCTCTTCCATTTGGATATCATGTCAAAAGAAGCTTGTCTTAAGCAAGAAGTTATACTTTCTATCTGGCCGGCTACTGACTTACATAACATCCCACCACTGCCTTTTATAACTGAGCTATTTTAAGTAAATACAAGATTAAAATATAAAGTGTTAATCTCAAAGTTCTTTAAAATTGCAGTTTTAGTGAAAGTCCTGTGTTTCTGCAGTGAGCATAAGACTGGAAACATGAGGTGTGGATTCTACTAAAGCACTTCTGAGAAACTTTTTAAACAGATGTACTTTTACAGTTTTTTACAGACTTTAACATTGTCGTTGAGTGCTTAGTCAAATAAAAAAAAACTCTAAATACAATAAGCCACTGTTAATGTTTTCACACGCTGTGTATTCAGTTAACACCTTTCCAAAATGCTAATATTTACTTCACATACAAGCTTACCTGATATCAAAATAATGGATAATTCTTGTCATATGTTCGCACACAGAATGCCATAAATGATAGGTCCTGTTGGAAACCTTAACGTGGTTTAAACTCAAAGTCTGTATGCTCATAGCTGATCATATTTTTATGAATGAACAGATCAGTGAAACTTTGAGAAACAGCTGATTTGCTATGTTTAATAATCACTGCTGCTTATAAAGCTTTTACTGCTGCTATTATATCACTTGCAAAACATTCTACTGTACATTCCATAAAGCAAAGATGACCTATTTACTTTTACGTAGGTTGCCAGAAATGCCCACATCCCAATGGAAACACTCCGGGGTTTGCAGGGTTCCGTTAGATGTTACTGCTGCTCTGTTCAGTTCAGGTCATCTCTCTTTAGGGTTAAACCTGTGAAACTGTACTTGGTTGTTTACTTTATTCCACATGTGTAATTTACATGTTTATCATGTGTGTTTAATACTCTATAATACATGTACCTGGCAGAGTTCATCACTGCATCACATTGTCTCCATCACTAGGTGGTGCTGTGCACTGCTCCACTAGAGCACCAAATGTGACTCATCATCATCATCATCATCATCATCATCATCATCATCCTGATAGTGCCCTTTTAAAGAAAAAGAAAACAATAACTAATCATTTGAATACATAACAGAATAATAATGCCTATGCAGGGGTGAGCCAAGACAAATTCAAATGGCCATAAGGACTATATTACACGCATTGTCACCGTGTTTTCTGGGTTCATGTGGAGCTGCGTGTTAATGTTGAGGCTGCTAGATTCTTGTGTCACAATAGTAGAGTATCTGAAAGCTATATTTGTGAGGAGTCGGGCCTCAGCAGTTTGTCCTCTACGGACTCTGCAGGGTGCTGGGATCTGACTAAAAATAATTAAGAGTAAAGAATAAATAATAACTTAAAGCATAAAGAATACAAAATAACACAAACAAATAATATAAAGCATTAATACTTATAAATAATAGAGTAAAGGCATTCATTTAAAAATGTAGACTAAAGCATTAATAATAAGATTGAATAATTAACAATAATACTGAAGTCTAAATAATACAGTATCAAAACAATTAATGATTAATAAAGCAATAATAGTAAAGCATAAATAATAAAGAGTTTGTTATTATTTAAAGAGTAGGCTAAATAATAATTGCGTAAATAAAAAAGCATGAAAAAACAAAAATAATTCATACATTTGAGTATATGATATAGTAAATGATATATCAAATATAATAAGAGTAAAAAAGAAAACATAAATAAAAAAGCAATCATAGTTAAGAGTAAATAACAAAGATTAGAAAAAGAAACAAGTCATAATAAGAGTTCACAACACAGGCCCCCCCCTCCTGACGTATGCATCAGGTGACTGGAGTCTGACGGGCCTTTATAAAGGAACTTTGACAAGTTCCTCTCAGTTCCTCCTGGTCCCGAACTTGGATTTGAAGTGCTCAGCGGCTGCGGCTCTTCTTCTGCTCTCGGAAACTTTGCGGGTGAGTTACACTTTCCTCTGTCTGAGCCTGGACACAGCCGCGCGCTCCTCACACGCGCAGTGACACTTTTAAAGTTACAACTTTTTCCTTCACTGTGTGCGTTGTTCTGGTTGAAGAGTTTAAGAGACTCCGCTGCGGCTCTCCCTCCCTCTGGACCCTTCCCCCGCTCACACTCTCCATCAGACCCGGGTCTGGGGTCCGTTGGCCCTCAGAAGTGTTGGACTCCATTGTTCTCTTCTGTCTGATCAATTTCAGCACACAAAGTCACTCATGTAGAAAGTGGCGGGATATGTTCTGTGTAATAACAAAAAGTAAAACTGTTCCCATTGTCTGTCTCTCCTGGAAGAGAGTTCCCATGGTGAAGCTGACTTATTATTATTATTATTATTATTATTATTATTATTATTATTATTATATATTAAGATAATGCCTTCAGATTCGGCAGAGAGTCCACACCCCTGACAACTATTAATTATGGCATGTGACAAACGTTTTACTTCCTTAGGTCATATTCTCATATAACTGAGGAAACCATAGTCACTTCAAGACTCAAGAAATATTGGTCCTGGATGTAACCCATGTATTTAGTTTGTTTTGTTAAAGAACACTAATGTTGAACAGAGAAGGTCAGCTTTTCCAGCTTAGTGAAGCTAGTCAGATTTATGCTGAGAGATGAAGAGGAAGACTCAGTGGTCAGGAGAGTGTGTGAGCACTGTTAAAGTTCTGAACATCTCCCAGCGTCGTCACGGCTCTGTGCTGCTCTCAGAACAGCTAAAAGCTTTACATGCTCTTCCACCGGCTGGAGGGGCAGACACTTTACGCTGCCTCCCTCTGTGTCTTTGTCCTCACCATGGCAAATAATTAAAAGCATAAATCTTTGTTGGAAAAAAGCTCACAGGAGTAGAGAGGAGAAGACTGATAAGATGATATAGAATAAGGTATTTAATATGGGGGTTAGCATACCTGCGTATACTCGGGTCATGTGACTCGCGCTGCCCAGCTAGTTGCCTGCCTCAGAGCGCTGTGTGTTAGCTTTGCTTTAAGATGCATTTAAATATGCCATTATTTACTTTCCCATGGTTCTCTATTGAAGAGCTACATAACATGATTTGATCGTCTTGCTGATTCAGGGTTTCTTAAAATATATTTCCACATTTACCTGAATTTAAATGCAGTGTTGCATACACTGACCACTGATCGCAGTGTTTGGATTAGCTGCTGTTTAATCATGAAATGCTCCAAAAGGCCAAAAACCCTGAGGAAGTGAATCTTATGTTATTCTGGTTCTGTGTCTGTATATGATTGACAGTTCAACATTGTTCCCCTTCTTCTTTAAACAGCTGAGGCTACCTGAGAATGGGCGACTGGAGTGCTCTGGGTCGCTTGCTGGACAAGGTCCAGGCCTACTCTACTGCGGGGGGGAAGGTGTGGCTGTCAGTCCTCTTCATCTTCAGGATCCTGGTCCTGGGGACCGCCGTGGAGTCCGCCTGGGGAGACGAGCAGTCTGCATTCAAATGCAACACTCAGCAGCCTGGCTGTGAGAACGTGTGCTATGACAAATCCTTCCCCATCTCCCACGTGCGCTTCTGGGTCCTACAGATCATCTTCGTGTCCACGCCCACGCTGCTCTACCTGGCTCACGTCTTCTACCTAAACAGGAAGGAGCAGAAGTTTGCCAGGAAGGAGGAGATTCTTAAAGCTGTGCAAAATGATGGAGGTGATGTTGACATCCCGCTGAAGAAAATTGAGTTGAAAAAGCTCAAGTATGGCATCGAGGAGCACGGCAAAGTGAAGATGAAAGGGGCCCTGCTCAGAACCTACATAGTCAGCATTTTATTCAAGTCTATGTTTGAGGTGGGCTTCCTGGTGATCCAGTGGTACATATACGGCTTCAGCCTTAATGCAGTGTACACCTGTGAGAGGGACCCCTGCCCCCACAGGGTGGACTGTTTCCTGTCCCGTCCGACGGAGAAGACGGTCTTCATCATCTTCATGCTGGTGGTGTCTATGGTATCTCTGATGCTCAACGTCATCGAGCTCTTCTACGTTTTCTTTAAGAGGATCAAAGATCGCGTGAAGGGCAGACAGCCCCCCATTCTGTACCCAAATGCAGGCACATTGAGCCACACTCCTAAAGACCTGTCCACCACTAAGTATGCCTACTATAACGGCTGTTCCTCCCCCACCGCACCACTCTCACCCATGTCCCCCCCAGGCTACAAACTAGCCACAGGGGAGCGGGGAACTGGCTCCTGCCGTAACTACAACAAGCAGGCCAACGAGCAGAACTGGGCCAACTACTCCACAGAGCAGAACCGCCTTGGCCAGACTGGTGGAGGAAGCACTATTTCAAACTCCCACGCTCAGGCTTTTGACTTCCCTGATGACACCCACGATAAGAAACTGTCGTCGCCCGCGGGACACGAGCTGCACCCGCTGGCGCTGATGGAGGCGCGGCCCTGCAGCCGGGCCAGCAGCCGCATGAGCAGCCGGGCCAGGCCG